CCCGTCCCCCAGCTTTCTGGCCCGACACTGACCCCCCCGCACCGTGCCCTTCTGCTCCAGCCTCTTGCAACCCGGCTGGGGCCGCAGCACCTGTGACTGTTTGTGTTGCAGGAGCGGGGTGACAAGATCGCCATCAAATCTTGCCGGTTGGAACTCAGCACCAAAAACAAAGACCGGTGGTGCCATGAAATCCAGATAATGAAGAAGTAAGTAGGTTGCATCATGGCCTTGTCTTTTGCTTTTGGGAGGCAGTGTTCTCAGATCCACGGGGGAGCGTTTCCCCTTCAGAGATGTCACTGTTTGTGTTGCAGGAGCGGGGTGACAAGATCGCCATCAAATCTTGCCGGTTGGAACTCAGCACCAAAAACAAAGACCGGTGGTGCCATGAAATCCAGATAATGAAGAAGTAAGTAGGTTGCATCATGGCCTTGTCTTTTGCTTTTGGGAGGCAGTGTTCTCAGATCCACGGGGGAGCGTTTCCCCTTCAGAGATGTCACTAGCTACAGACTTCTTTCGGTCTTATTCACTCTCTAAAGATAAGCTTCAGGGGATAGCCGAGTTAGTCTGTACAGGGGAAACTTAAAAAACAACAAATAGTCTGGTAGCACTTTAAAGACTAACAAAACATGTAGGTGGTGGTGTGATGCCATCTACATGTTTTGTTAAACTGCAACCAGACTATTTGTTGTTCTAAAGAAGGTTATCGTTAGCCTCCGGGGAAAGAGCTGTATTTTAAAAACAGTTTTACACTGATACCATAAAGGGAAAACACTGTAATTATGATACATTTAAAAAGCTCTTCTTTTCGTGGTCTTGCAGTTTGATGGGAAAACTACGCTTGGCAGTGAGGTGTGTCTGTTTGCTCTTGGCACAGAAGTGAACATTGTGAGACGGGTTCATAGAAATACTTTTGGCGGTTTTGCATTTTGATTACTTTAATATCAAAGAGAACATTGAGAGGTGACTTGATCAATGCATCTAGGCACTAATAAACACAAAAGGGAGCTCAAAATGGATTTTTTTTAAACCTGGTAAACAGAGAATGGGGTCTTAGAGCTGGAAGCTGAAATTGGACAAATTCAATCCTGAAACGAGACAAAGTTTCCTAGCATTGGAACAGTTTACTTGAGAAGTGGGGCAACTACCATTGTTTGGAGTCTTAAAAAAATCTTGTCGTACTGACTGCCAGATTTGGGGTCAGGGAGGATGGTATGGGGTATGGTTCACTTTCAGGGGTCATATGGCCATGGCTAACCTAATCAGTAGAGCCCTGTGGGGATACAAATATCTGTCTGTGGATGCACATATCTGCTGATCAACATTGGCATATGTTGACCTGTAGAGCTCTACTCCCAAGAGGCACTGTAACCAAAGAGAGGAGCATGGTCATCTTGTCATTCCCAGAAGCCAGTGACAACAACTCCTTCCTGCCATGTGGCTGTACTGTCTCCAGTACCACCCCTAGCGGGGCTGTAGGACCTCAGACAGAAGATGGCAGGGTTGGGGGAGGGGGCGTACAATCACACTGCTGAGACGAGCTGCTGGCGCAGGGCACTGGCTCCTAGGAGCAATGGGACCATGGAATCATAGAATACTAGAACTGGAAGGGACCTTGAGAGGTCATCGAGTCCAGTCTCCTGCCCTCACAGCAGGACCAAGCCCAATCTAGATCATCCCTGATAGTCTATCTAACCTTCTCTTAAATATCTCCAGTGATGGAGATTCCACAGTCTCCCTAGGCAGTTTATTCCACTGTTTAATCACCATGTTCTTCTCCTTTAGTCACACTGCCTCTTGACAGTAGAGCCCTTCAGGTCAGCAGATACTGATGTCTATCCGCAGATATCTGCATCTGTGGAAACATTTGTGTAGGCATAGGGCTCTACTAATCAATTTCATGCTGTTGAAGGGGCCTCCTGCATTTGTGCCACCTCCATCTCTCCCATCTGCTTGTGGGTCACAACAGTTTAGTTGAACCCAAGTCATTGGACTAAATATAAAGGTAACGAGGTGAAACTTAATGGCCTGAATTTGAGGCTACGATTGTCATGGAGGTCACAAAATCTGACTTTTTTGTGACCAGTGACATTTTTTCATTTCAGCCCTTGGCAGCAGGGGACCTTCCCAGTTCCTAGCTTTAGTTTAGCTCTAGTTCATATGTTAGTTTCATCCAGGATGGAATATTCTTTACTGCTGGGATTTGAACCCAAAACTCTTGTCCCACTCCAATCCTTAGCCTGAAGATTTTTTCGACTCATCCATGATCTGCCTGTTCTTAGAAAATCTGAATTCTGTTTATTGCCCCTGGGTAACTTACTGGAGTAAACTTGTTGACAATTATGTGCTGGCCATCATGCTTCTAACATTAAATGTTTTGGGAAAAGAAATCTTAGGCTACACAGCAGCATTATTTTTGAATAATGCAGAGCACTTCTACACAGGAAGTCCGTTATTTTGAAATAAAATCGAAATAATAGGCTTCTTACTCCGACTTTGATAAACCTCATTGTATGAGGAGTAAAGGAGGTCGGGGGAAGAGTGCTCTATTTCAAAATAACTGCTGTGTAGACAGCACTAAAAGTCGAAATAAGCTATTTCAACTTAAGCTACTCAATTAGCAAAGCTCAAGTTGTCGTTTATTTCGAGTTTAGCACTGCTGTGTAGATGTGCCCTCTCTGTCTTCACATTTGAAACACATTTTATTGATTCATCTGCTTGTTGATCTTCTGAAATACCTGTATCAAGATTTTCGTCATGCTTTCCATTGCTTAGGTTAAACAACCCCTTTGTCGTAAAGGCCTGTGATGTTCCAGAGGAGATGAACTTCTTAGTTAATGATGTCCCTCTTCTGTCAATGGAGTATTGCTCAGGAGGTGATCTCAGGAAGGTAAAATCTGCTTGTTTGAAATTATAACTAAGTGATCTCATAGTTGTGACTTCCTGTAGGACTAAGTAGACTTGGATTTTTGCACCTGTGTAGCAAGTGCAAATCCATATACTACACCAGTGTAAGAAGGGGCCTGCACCAAGCATCTTACAGAGGTAAGTACAAGTGCAGTCCCCTTTTTACTCTGAAGCAGCATGTCCATGTAAGAACTCTATCAATATGGTGCAAATTCTAATAGCCAAGTCAAGCCCTTAGATAACCATTAGTGTGTTTCATAAAGATACATAAGAGAAGTTATTCTGGAATGTGTGAAAGTATAAAAGGTGTCACATTAAGTTGACTATTTAGGTTCTTGTATGACCTCCACCAGCCTTTCAGGGCTGAAGAAGGAATCAGAATGCTAATATTCTCTTAGAAATGTGTTTATGCCATTACTTGGGTGACTTTCATTTGGGAAGACACTAGACAGCATTTTAGAGGAACTTGCTAATGGTGTATTCACCAGCACCTTTCAGTAGTTTAACGAAGGGAAGTGACGTGGACCAGTGCTTTGCACTCCTCTCTCTGGCAGTGGGAATTGAGAATGACACTATCATATGTAGGCAATTAAATGGGAGATTGGACAAGAATTTGATCTTCTAGCTAAAATGACAATGAAGGCTCTTGATGAGAATGCAAATGATAGGCAAGTCAGAGATGTGGCCCAGGCTAAGGACTGGAAGAGAGACAAATGAGCTTTAGCAATGAGACTTTTATATTCTGTTAACCAATAAATAACTTCATAATCTCAGTTTTTTCCATTTTACTTGCATCTTTTCTTTGCTTACTATATTTAACTACTTCTGGCTTTATTGGAAGCAATTGGAGCAATCACTGGTTGGAAATCTGCAAGAGGAGGAAACAATCTGACTCCAGAGAGGACTGGTTAAGGATAGATAGAGATACCAACATGGATGCTGAACTGGCGATATGATTCGCAGGGGCCCCACTCAGAGGTTATGCCTTCAGTGAATAGGCTCAGTGACATTGGCTATGTAGGATTTAGTTTCAGTGTAGCATTTACGTTTCTGAGATTTTGAAAGCTGTGTTTGTACCATTGGCTGTTCTGGAAGTAAAATGCACTAGTCCAATTGAATTTTTAATGACATATGATTGCATTTTCATCTCTTCTGCACTTGTTTTGTGACATCATCTTTATTTTGCTCTTATGTCGCTATCTAGTTAGAAGTCTGTGGGAGCACCAAGTCTGGTGTTTAGCCTGATACTAAGTTGAGATCTTATCAGTTACTGGACATCTTGATCTGCAGGAAGTGTTGTCTGAAGAGAAATGAGACCCAGAAACAGCAGAGTTGGGAGACTGATTCTGCCAATGACTCCTGTGTCTTGAGGCATGCTGTGTATGCTCTGTCTACACCGGTAGATCATTTAGGATTTATGACCTCCATTTATAAAAATATGATCAACCTTAGCTCAGTGTTTCTCAAAATGGTCCACAGATCCACTCTGAGAAACCTGCTAACTGGCCACTCGGGTTTGTTTATTTACTGGCCTCGCGGCTTCCATTGTCTCTGGTTCACCGTTTGCAGCCGGGGGGAGCCACAGGAATGCAGATCTAGGATTTTACAATCCTATTGGAGAGCAGTAGCTGCTGGCCAAGATCCCAGCTTTGAAGGCGCAGCCACCACCAGCAACAGTGTAGAAATAAGACTGGCATTGTATGGTGTTGCCACCCTTACTTCTGCATTGCTGCTGGCGGGGGCTGCCTTCAGAGCTGGGTGCTTGGCCAACAGCCATCACTCTCCAGCCACCCAGCTCTGAAGGCATCACAGAATCAAGGCAGGCAATACCATGATCCCCATAAAATAACCTTGCAACTCCCTTTTGGGTTGGGACTTCCAGTTTGAAAAATGCAGGTTTCCCCTGTGAAATCAGTATAGTATAAGGTAGAAGTACACACGACCAGATTTCACCATGGTAGATAGGGAGAGACCAGATTTCAATCCTTGATGTATTTTTCATGGCTGCTGAATTTGGTAGGGCCCTTCCTTTGTGCTTCCTTCCTGTTCTTTACATGGAGTACTAATGTAGGGGTTGCAAGGTGTCATCCTTCTGCTGTGAGTGTATGTGTATACATGTGCTCCTTCCTGTTTGTTCTTCTTGCTTGGCCTGATTTTCCTTGGCTCTTCTGAAATGGTTTAGACAATTTGTTTAGAGCAGTTGATCCCTCCCAAGGAGTGATCCTACTCCTGAAATGCAGGCCAGTCATAAATCTCATTTGTTTGCTTTCATATAATGTTTTGAATTTGTCAAAGTGTTGGGTAAAGTATAGACCCTGGGGACCAGGAACTTCCTAAAATAGCTGTCCATTTTGAATCTGTCATAGCTTGGTCCTGCCGCGCGGGCAAGGGACTGGACTTGATGACCTCTCAAGGTCCCTCCCAGTTCTAGTAGTCTGTGATTGCTTATCCTCTAAACTTCCTACAACCCTCTCCCGCCTCTCCTCCCCCCCGCCCCTTGTTTTATGTAACTATGACATTCTTCACAAACTTGGAATCTTCTTTCCAATCCACTTTCCTGTTTGTATATGCTTTTGTCTTTCTGAACCTTTTATATGTTTGTACAAGACCAATTAATTCTGTGGCCCACTTTCGGTATGAATTGTATTATTTTCTCATGGAGTTGTGGTAGAAGACAGAAGATATTAAATAATTCTTGCATTGCGGACTTAGACATATTTTTCTTTTCTGTAGCTCTTAAACAAACCAGAAAATTGCTGTGGACTTAAGGAAAGTCAAATACTTTCTCTGCTTAGTGACATTGGTATGTAATCTGCCTTTTTTGCCTTTTTATGTTCGTCATATGTAACTTCATTGTTCCAGCAAAATGCTGCAAATGCAAGTTGTCAAAACAAGCAGGCTCATTTCTAGGGTTGTTCGTTCTGCTTACCTGGATAATTTATGATGCTTAGGGCTTGTCTGGAGGATTTAGTCTGCATTAACTCAGGTTAGTGTGGTGTGAAAACATCCACATGCACCCGCATGCACACACTGCAGTTCATTACAGCACATAAAGCTATGTCTATGCTACAGACTTTACAGACATGCTGTACTGTTAACAGCTGCGCTGTGGTAAGGTTTCCCATGTAGCTGCTCTCTGCCAGCAGGAGACAGCTCTCCTGCCATCATAATTAAATCACCCACAGTTAGTGTTGTCTGGGAGCATCTCCCATGGACATAGCACTGCCTATACCAGCACTGCATGAAGGAGTTCAAGGAGCAGCTCTTATAATAGCTGATGCTTAGTGTCATCCTCTTGTTCCTTGTCCTGCTTTCTCTGCTGTTCCTGTGGGAAGAGTCACTGCTGCAGCCAAATCTCTGCTTGGTGGTCTGGTGGGTGAAGTCCAAAACCAAAGCCACCTGGTTTTGAGTGCTGAAATAAAGCCCAACAAATCTACCTTTATTACTGACATGCACACACTCAAAACAGAAGCCTCGCTGCTAATGAACAGGAGAAATGGGGCGCCGAGCATTGGTATTGACAGACACCAATGCCAGGGTGCTGGATTTGTTTGGATATAGCGATGTAAAATTTTGATTATTGGCTAGTCGAATAGTTGATGCAGTTTGCATCGACTATTTGATTAGTCGATAAAGGTGCCTCCGCCTTTGAAGTGTAGCAACAGCCCCAGGGCTGTCAAAGTCAAAAGCGCTATAGGGAGCACGGGGCCAGTGGGGGACTCAAGCAGTCCCCCGCTGGCCCTGTGCTCACTGCGCCATTTCAAAGTGGCAGTGCTGTATGGAGCCTGGGATCAGCAGGGGATTCCCTTGCTGACCCGGGGCTCCACGCAGTGCTGCTGCTTTGAAGCACTCCCTCCTCTTCTCCCCCCCCCCTTTGCTTCCTCTTTCTGATTGAGGCAGCAAAGGCGGGGGTGAGGGGTGAAGAGTGACTAGTCGACTAGCCTGTCGACTATTTGGTAAGTATCTGCTTATCGGATAGTCGACTAGTTGTTTACATCCCTATTTGGATACAGACTTTATTCCACAGGGAGTCTTCAGTTCAGGAATCAAATCAACAGGCACTTCTGAGCTGCGCTGACTTCACCTTCTGGGAGAACATTGTCTTTAAATTTTATAGTCTGCCAGAGAACTGTAAGCAAGAGTTTGCAGTAATGGTAGATGATGGCAAGCTGATTGCCAGAACTGTTCTCCAGGATATCATGTGCAGTGTAGATGCACTGGTTTGAAACATGGCATCACCCATTACAGTAAGATATTTTGGTACATGAGGATCCCACCAGAACGCCTTTCAAAGGTCGATATTCATCTTCAGATAGGATGAACATTGGAGTTAGTAGCTTAAAAGATACCAGGATAACATTAAAATCTCTTGAGATCTATATTCTGGTGAAAAAGAGGAAACATTTTGATCCTCAACAACTGTACAGACTCCAGGGTGTTTCTTCTCAGTCTCAAGATTCACCAAGGAGAAAGAGCAGGACTTTATATGGGACAGTCTCCACAGTCGTCCTATTTGGAATGGGTTTATGCCTTCTAGCTGCTGTATTCACACAGCCATTCTGATGAATTTGTCAAGACCGTGTACCTGCGGCTGTAGTTCCCTCTATTTCCTGACCTTTGTTTTCCAGCTGATGGTCACATTTTATAAAATCCTGGGCCCAAATAACATTGGATCAGTGGGTCTTAAGCCTGGTAGAACTGGAATATTCCCTTCAGTTCATGTATAGACTCTTCTTCCCTTTCCTCCTTCAGTGAGCACTTTGGTTCTCCTAACGAAGGATGATTGTGTCAATCACTTCTTTCATTCAGGGGCTACAGCAGAAGTTCCACTGGGCCTCAGAGGGAAGGACTTTTATTCATGGTTATTTCCTGATTCCCCCAAAGCCGAAGGAGAGGTCGGGCCTATTGTAGATCTAAGAGAGTTAAAGAAATTCCCGAAGAAAATAAAGTTGATTGTGGTTTCTCTAGCTTTGATTATTCTCTCCTGGAACTGGGGACTGATATGTTACCCTCATCTTAAAGCACACTTGTTTCTATATTGCAGTTTGACACAGCTGCTGGAAGTTTCTCAGATTTATGGTATATGGGTCCCGCTGTCAGTTAAGTGCTCCAGTTTGGCCTCAGCCACTCTTTCGGTGTTCACAAAATGCATGGTGGTGGTAGGAGCTGATCTGTAAAAATCAGGAGTCCGCTTCAGGGATGTTAAAGGTTAACTGGTTATCCAGTAAGCATGAGTCTTACCAGCATGCTTACCAGGTAACAGCAGGCCTGACCTGGTCAGAACAGCCCCTTGCCCACGGTGAGCCTGGCTGCCACACACATGCAGGCAGAGGGCTGCTCCAGCTTGGCTGGGTCCACCACACTGTGCCATGGACGAGGGGCTGCTCTAGGCTTACCTGGTAGCATTTAACTAGTAAACTTTTTGAATGGCAACTAACATCCCAAGACTTTGTGTTCCCATACCCACGGTACTATGAAATCTGGTGTTCACAGATGGAATCAAAACGCTAACACGGAATTCTGTTCTCCCCGGCACTCGGACGGCAGTGGCAGGCAGGATGGGCTGCATGGCTAAACTATTGTGCAGCTGCATTTAAGAGTCAAGTTGTCTCTGTAGTGGTAGCAGCAGGTGCTGTCTGAACAAGTCTTCAGATTCCTCAGCACTTTATTTAGAGAGAGAGTGTGTACTCACACTCTTCTCCCCCCTTCCTCTGCCAGACAGAGGTATACACACTTCTGTGGATGTTGTGTTACTTTTCAGTGGGGTCAATTTGGTTGTATTATTCTGTACTCTACTCTGCTACTCCAAAAAGTGATTTTAAAATGTTTTCCTCATTTGTTATATAACCGCAGGATGTTCTGTTTGAATTTTAGATTTTTTTCTAAAATCAGTTTTTCCCATTGCAATCCAGTCCTGAATATATTTATGCATTTATAATAATGCTACTTAATTGTTGTCAATGTATCAAATAACTTTGATTTAAAAAAACCCCACAAAGACAAAATTATTTTTAAATGGGGGGAAAAAAAATAAAATCAGAAAATAAGAAATTTGAAACTCCATAAGAAAATGGATTTCATAGGGCCTTATTTACTTGAATAACTAGTTGAGGCTCAGGTTTTATACGGTGTCTCCATCATCCTATCCACGTTTGATGCATTTGGGCTCGTAGTGAATGGTACAGATCAGTTCTACTACCTTTACCTAAGACAGCATTTATTGGTGTGGTCTTGGACTCCACAAGGGCCAAAATCTTACCACCTCAGATCAGGTTTGGGATGCTGCAGGATCTGGTGCTATGTCTGAAACATGTCTCCTCATCATGGCACATACTGTCTCCTGCGTATTTCTGTGGTTCAACACAGCAGGCTGTACCCAAGTTGACAAATGTGGACAAGATGGTCCAGGTGCCAATGCCAATGTTGTTGTCCCTGAATTGGAGGGTAGAACCTCTGAAACTATTAGTGTCCTCCCACTAGGTCTACCGTGGCAGGCAGGCAGAACAGGTTGCATGTCTGAACTGTGGTGCAAATACATTTAAGGAAGTCAAATTGTCTCTGGAGTGGTAGCAGCAGGTGCTGTCTGAACAAGTAACTTTAGTCGTGAATGCTTCAGACCTGGGGCAGCAAGAATGCCTGACCTGTGTTCCTGCTCCTGCATCTTCTCATCTCTCCCCCTTTTGGTTTGGATTTGGGGTCTAGAGACACAGCCATGGTATCTTTGCCATATGGCCTTTTCAGATACCTGCTCTGCTAGCAGCATTGCTAGGAGAGAGTTGGTGCTTTCTATCTCGAGTCAGCAGAGGTCTGTTTCTAAAAAAAGTATTGGCCTTAGCTGGTGAAAATGTCTTCTCTAAGCCAAGGTGGGTATATCTGCAGGAGGAGCTCCATGGAGAATAGTCTAATGAAATTGGCTGGACATTTCCTTTAGAATAAATACTCTTTAATATTCAGTTAGTGGGAGAGAACACATGGCCATTTAAACAATATTGAATTTGTTCAATAATTAATTAAACATTAGAAAGTGGAAACTTACAGGTGATGTTGCAAAACAAATTTTAATTTTGTTTTGTATTCCTGCCTGCCTCCCACTTTTAGGAATGGCCATATGTATTCTGAAGAGATGCATCTAAATTCTTTGGCCTGGCCCATGAGGTCAATGATTTCCAAATGGCTGGCTGGAAATTCTGTGGCCCGGCCTTGTGGGTTCATGGCACTCTAGTCCAGCCAGCTGGAAATTCTGTTGCATGGCCCATGGTGCTCCACTCCAGCTGGCTTGAATTTCTTGGGCTCCTTCAGGTAAATTTAGACAATTTTTTAATTGAATTTCTTATTAATTTTAATAATACATATCTCTTATGTGTTGCTGGCATTAAATTTAGCTTCTTGTGCTGTGGCTCTACATTGCCAGTCCTCGGTTTCCTGCAGATTTTTCTATTGATTGTGGTAAATGCACTTTTGAAGCTGTAAACTGGAATACTGAAGCTTTTCAGCATCTGGTACGGAAAAGGTGGGGCTTTCGTTACCTGATTCCTGTGGGGATGGCAGCTTGGAATTGTGAGCTAAAGTGGGGGGGAAAAAAATCAAACCCTCACTGATGTGGCCCCTAACTGAGAAGGAGAAAAACGCTCCTCACATTCCTCACATCAGAGCCTAGGAAGGCGCAGACTTGTAGATGTTGTGTGCTCCTGCCCTGCAAGGGAATGGCGGGGGGGGAGATGTAGATGTTGTTGCTCCTGCCCTGTGAGGGAATGGCGGGGGTGCTGGGTTGCCAGCATGGGCTCCCCAATGCTGGGGTGGTTAAATATTCATTGTTACATTTCAAAGTTAACATATGGTGCAGATCTAATGCTATGTAGTCTGCTAAAATTAGAAATCTGAACCATCATTACTTATTGCCACATCATTAACAATTGTTTGTTTGTTGTTGGGGGAGAGGGGAGTGTTGCCAGGCCCTTGATTTCTCTTGCACATGACCAAGCCAAAAAATAAACATGAAATGTGCACACAGTTGGATCCCAAAAGAGCAAATACACATTTTAACAAATTTCCTTTCCTTCTATTTCAGCTCTGTAGTCTTGTATAGAGAAAACTCTAGCTTGACCGTCTTCTAGATATGGCTCAGTGCCCTGATGTGGGTAGGGGAGAGGATTGCATCTTATAAAATGCTTATATTTAAAACTCAGGTTTTTGTAGTCTGACCCTGTTTCTTCTTAAATACACACACAATGGCTGTGTCTACATTGGCACCCCTTTTCGGAAAAGGGATGCTAATGTAGACTTCGGAATTGCAAATTCTGCGGGGGATTTAAATATCCCCCGCGGCATTTGTATTTACATGGCTGCTGCTTTTTTCCGGCTTGGAGATAAGCCGGAGAAAAGTGCCAGTCTAGACGTGATTCTCCGGAAAATAAGCCCTTTTCCGGAGAATCACGTCTAGACTGGCACTTTTCTCCGGCTTATCTCCAAGCCGGAAAAAAGCAGCAGGCA